TGAGATTAACGTGCATGTATTCCATCGCCATTTTGTAAAAATTCATCGAATACTATTCCAGATAATAATGTAAGATTGAGTATCCACAAACAAACAGGTTCGTATATTAATTATTCAATGTCTACTGACCTTCGAAATCTATTCATGTATTACTTAATTCAGGTAATATTCACCAAAAATTCAACCAAATTTTTTTAGATTTTCGCCACCATCATCCTGGTTCAGCTTCTCAACAACCTCTTAGTTACGCCTAGTTACCAAAATTCCCATCCAATTGGCACATTAAGGTAGTTCCCCATGTCCAATCATTATTTAAATTTTTTGACATTTTTGTAAACTGATTTGAATAATTTTGATCTATTTTCACATAACAAATACCTATACATACCTATATTAATTACTATCTATATAAATATACACTGTGTCACATACATTTTTAGACGAATCATATTACAGGGTGTTCCACATTTCATAATAATTTATTTTATTTTCATATTGCTGGCAATTTAACAATTTTACTATAACATAACAGTACTTATGTACTTTGAGTTTACAACCCTTGCTTCATTTATGCTTTTCAATAAAATAAATAATATACAGGATGCTTAATATTTAATGCTAGCCTGAAAAATTGTTACACAGCCACTACCATCAGTATAAGGTACTGCTATATACACATATCATATAATAATGTAATCTTTTGGAAAACATAAAATATTTCATTTTATTTGGTTTATTTCTTTTAAAAATAACTCAAATATAATACAAAAAAAATCCTAAAAATAATTAACATAAAAAAAGTAAACTAACTTTCTTGCGTATGTAAAAAAATTACATTTTATTTATCTCGATTTTCCATTCACTTAAAAGACATTTTTTTGAAAGGTACTGAGAATCTGAGGGTAAAGTGGATTCGATTTTTAAAATCAAGGTGAGAAATTGAATAGCTGCGGTCTTAGATACGGCTAGGTAGCGGTTAATGGTTAACAAGTGTAAACTTCCTACTGCATAAATTATTATTTAGTAGCTAGCTAAAATAAAAAGTTACATATTATAATTAAAAAATAATTGTCATACGGATAGATATGGATAGACAATGATGATGGCATTGTAGATGCTAAATGTTCCTGTCCCAGAGGTGAAACAATTTGTCACCACATGGCAGCATTGTGCATTCATGCACACTATAACATCAGCGTTACTGATGAAGCGTGTGCTTGAAAGGCCCCCAGTGCATCATCATCCAATACAGAGGAAACTAAAACATTGAGTGATCTATTTCCTTAAAAAAACCCAATTATTGTGCAGTTAAAAGAAGAGCCTTAAAAGAGGAAATTAATAAATTTAAAAAAATCTAAGCCCGTACATTGTAAGGTTTTTATGACTGTTACAGAAAGAACCTGAAAATAATTTTGTAGCGTTGATTCCCTGCATTGCATCTATTATTTTTTCAAATGAATACACTAATTCTACCAATAAAATTGACTTTGTAAGTAATGCATGTGTCATTACAGGAGAAAAAATTAAAATAATAGCAGAAGCGACCATTGGGAAATATAAAAATGGCTAATATTCAGAAAGCACAGGCCTATTGCTAGCCATTTTGGACAAATTCGAAATCGTTTTTCACATTTTCTGTATAAAAGTTTATTATGATTTAAGCTCGGTATCGGCTATACAGTGGGTAAGGGAACACGAATCAACAGCTGTAGCTGCTTTTGAAATGGAAACGACGATGTACAGTGTATCGAACAGGAATTTGGCAAGATATATGTAGCTTTCTAGATGCTAGTCCCGACGGGTTTACAGAAGATGACATTCTTATTGAGGTGAAATGCCCTTTTAAATTTAGAAGTGCAAGATGCACTGAAGTGTAATAAATCCTACATTATTTATAAAGATGATAATAATGAAATTAAAGTAAACACAAAACACAATTATTTTCATCAGATATAGGAACAGTTATATTTTTCTAAGAAGAAAATTTGCTATATTGTAGTGTTGACACCTGGGGGTCAATTCTCGACTTTTATTCCCATGGGAAAATAAAATTTTCCCATGGGAATTCAGTTTTCGTATTCTCGGCATAAGCGGTGGAATATTTTCCAATGAGAAGTATGGGAAAATATTCCCCTGCTTACGAGCATTGGAAATTGTGTTTTCCAATGGGAATTGTACTAGAGTTTGCGCATTAAAGTCGAAAATCTGACGAAAGACCACGCGAAAGACTAAGACATAACCAAAGATTATTGGATATCTTGGATTTTTGGTGAAATTGTAGTTAAAACATTTTTTTTGTGTATTTATAAATTGATATTATTTTATTTATGTGGGTATATTATTTTTACCTCTTTTTCACTAAGAAACTGATTTTCTTAAATTAGTTAGAAATTGTGGAAGTTGCTAAGGGACTGGCAAATAGGTAACACAAATTGAGAAATTTGTAGTAAATTTAATAAGACCTTTTCGAAAATTTTATTATTTCCGTTAACGAAAGATTTTCTTAGTTTCTCGAAACTTTCGTTGCTCTTCTATACAAAAGCTACTTTTTCTTTTTTCAATATGTGAAAAGAAAAACTAAAAATAACTCGAAAAGTTTTAATTATACATAATCGAATATTTTCACTTGTCTTCGGTCAAGCTAGCGATTGCTCGGCACGGCATCTGCTCCAGCGCAGAGGCTCGGCAGGTTACCCAAAAACCACAACAAATACAAATAATACCAACAGTAAATTTTAAAATATCTTTAATGTTATTGGTTATTTCGAAATATTCGTAAACTTAATATCAGACATACGTGAAACTATTATTTCCATGGGAATGTCTATTCCGACAAGTTCGAGAATTGCATAACCTATTACCATGGGAATATAAGTAGTGGAATCTTTTCCCATGGGAAAATTTTCCAATGAACTCGAGAATCGAGCCCCTGGGGTGCGTTCGTAAATCGAGAGCGTCAAATTTTCAATCGTCCGGACAAAATTCGTCGGAGCGTTTATTTCTGCCCAATAAATACGAACGGTAAACTCAAATGTCAGATGTCATTATTGTCAAATTAAGTTTTTGGTTATGTCTTATCGATTATTATTGTAGGAATTATCTAAAATTAGTAAGTAAATTATCCTTCCTCAATGGCAATTTCTTGTAGTTACAAAATACACAAGTTAATTCGTTATTTTATTTATTTAGATTTGCAAAATGGATTTTCTTCTTGGTAATTCACGTAGTTCAAGTTCAAGTGAGGAAGATGCTTTTGCTAGGGAATATGTTCGAGTTCAAAGACATGTACCCAGAACAAATAATTTCATTGCGACAGTTGTTGACAATTGTAGCAATAAACAATTTCAAGAGCATTTTAGAATGACGAGAGGCAATTTTCAAGAATTATTAAATCGTTTAGCACCATCATTAGAAAGGCAAGAAGGGTCAGGTGGAAGGCCGCGAATTTCTGTAGACAAACAATTATTGTCAGTTTTATGGTTGTTAGCCACGCCAGACAGTTACAGGTAAGTTACAGATAGAAGTATACTTATTATTTTTTCATAATCATGCTCTATTTATTTATCTAGTTTAACTTCACGTCATTTTAAGCATTTCTTTATTGTTTGCAGATCTGTTGCTTGTCGTTTCGACATGGGCAAGTCATCTTTGTGTACCTGCTTCTATCGAGTGATAATAGCATTGAATGAAATTTCACCATTAGTAATAAAGTGGCCAAATAATGTTGAAAAGCAGGCAATTCAAGAATCCTTCCATCGAATAGCAGGCTTCCCAGGAGTAATTTGAGCAGTAGATGGAACGTATGTACCAATTAAGGCTCCTCATGAAAATCCTGAAGTTTACATTAATAGAAAATGTTTTCATGGCATAACTTTACAAGCTATAGCTACTCCTAAGCTAAAATTTATCGACTGTTTTACAGGCTATCCAAGTTCGGTGTCAGATATTAGAATTTTCAGGAACTCTGATATATATATATATATATATATATATATATATATATATATATATATATATATATATATAGAGAGAGAGAGAGAGAAATTATAAATAATCGTATGAATTATTTTCAACAAAACGAGCACATTATTGGAGATAAAGCTTACCCAACTCTACACTGGTGTGTGCCTCCTTACATTGATAGAGGTAATTTAACACAAAGGCAAAGAAATTTCAATAATATACATGCAAAAACACGTCAAGTTGTAGAAAGAGCTTTTGCATTACTCTTTGGAAGATTCCGTCGATTGAGATATCTAGATATGAACCGTACTGATTTGATTCCAAGTACAATAATAGCTGTGTGCAAATTGCATAATTTATGTTTAAGTGATGACAACTTGATAGAAGATTATGTAAATGAAGGATTACGAGTAGTAAATGAAGAAATTGAGGTTGTTGAACACATACAACAAGGCATGAATGAAGGGATTGCTAAACGAGACTATTTGGCAACAATAATTTAAGATAATAAAATGATTTAATTTTGTAACTTTAATAAAACATTTTTTAACATTTTACTTGGTTTGTAACTCTAGGTAATGTAAAAGACAAGTCGGTCTGGTACAGTCTAGGTTTGAAATGCATGGTTTGTTGATCAGACGAAGTTGTCATTGATATTACCATATGCACATATACCATACAACCTTTTTAAAAATCACGAATATAAAATTAATAAAAAACTACAAATAACTCTCTTAAAAAATTGCAAACAAAACATTTTTAGAAAATCACAAACAAAACATTTATAGGCTTAACTAAAACCATTATTACAAAACTAAAAATGTACAAAATAAGTACAATTTAAAATAAATGTATACTTATATAAAATCTCTTAATACAGCCTTCTTTTTAACTTAGTAGGTAACATTTATTTTGACCCTTTTAAGACATTTGTTAGGTCTGTCAAGACTGACACTAACTCCTTTTGCACTTGCAATTTTTCTTCATGCCTTTTATTTCTTCCTCGTTCTTTAATGTTTTCAATGTCACGATATACATCAGTAGAGGGAGTCATTTTCATTTTTTTCTTCTGGCATTTCTTCAATAGCTTTACGTTTTTCATTCTTTTGTTCTGGGATTAGACTAGCATATATTTCTTGGTGGCAGGATGTAGAAGAAATAGATGTGATGTTACATATTCCTCTACTGGATGAGGCAGTAGCTACAGGAGCAACATTAGGATGTTGTCGAAAAATTTTCTCCATTTTGTCAAAATAATCAAACCTTATAGCTTTGGCACCAGTTGCTTTAGCTCCCATGTTATCTTTCTTTTCAATGTATTTGCTCTTTAAATATTTGAATTTATTTTTACATTGTTCCCATGTATGAGATGGAATTTTTGAACTTATCTCTTGCCACACTTTATCATTTTTTATTGTCGTTGATTTAAATTTTTTTTCATATTCCTCATACAAATTAATCAGTGACAAAATTTCTTCTCTACTCCAAGTTGTGCGTATAAGATTTTCATCAGTTTCAGCCTGGCGATTTTCTATTAATTCAATGGATGGATTTATATTATCTTCAACTTCTAAATTGAACCTATTGATAACAACATTGGCGTCCACATAGACTAATGTTTCATCTGTAATAATCAAAATAACAATATTTACCTAAAACATTTAAGGAAAATATTCAATTACCTTTAACCCTTTGTAATAAAATTTTATTATTTTCTATAATGAAATTGCCGTCATCTCCGGCAACTAGATGATAATTGGTAGAATTAATTTCCTCACTCATAGTATTAAATATTTTTCAAAAAATAAAAATAGAAAATAAAAAGATTTGGTTTTCCAATTTAATTAAGGTTATATTTGAAGACATATAAATATACTGCGCAAGTCGAGTTAAAATTACCCTACTCAATATGGTGGGTAAAATTTCTTCATCCCGACGCGTTTGTCTTTTAAATAGGAACGGCTTGGGTAAATCGTCCCGCTAAAATCTTCTACATTTAGGAACGCTTTTTAGAGTCTAGACAACGTCCGGACGCGTTTACCCTACGTTTATGAACGCACTCCTGCAGAACTTGAAATTGCGAAAATTCTTAAAGACGAAGAATGGAACAAAAACATAGACATTTTAAGAACATTTTATTAAGATTTGCCTGTTTATATTACTACTTTTAAAAACAAAGTAAAAAAATAAGTATTCTTAATTTATTACACAAACTTTTGTGGTTCTTGTACCTTTCCTTGGTAATTTGTTTCGCTGTTACTAGGTACACGCTAAAGTGTACACAAATCAAAATATTATATACAGGCGAAACGTCATATTGCTGTGGTGGGAGGTGTTTGTGTAAATGCGTGTTGTTTGTTTTCATTTACGCCGTGACTAGCAGCTAGCAGTAGTATTTTATAAACCTTAGAAGCAAATTTCACATACATGAACAAATAATAATAATGCCGTGACAACAAGAAAATGAAGCAACGAAGTCTCGTAGGGTGGCGGCTTCGCCGCCACCAGAAAATTTCAATCCTTACCTGGCTACGCCGATCGGCATGGACTCAGCTCACCTACTCTGTCAAGACGTTTCGCATGTATATAACTGTTTGAATGGCGTACAAGTTAGCGTGTACCTAGATACTGTGAATTTGTTTAGGTGTTGGAATTAATAACTTGTATTTGCCAAAGGAATAGTTTTCATATGTAATACTTGAATAATTGAAATATTATTTTTTAAGTACTTTATTTTACCTTAAACTGTTTTACAGAGGGATATTATATCAACACACAGGATCATAACTGCAGTTTTGTAAATTTTTTTTTATAGCATTCATATAGTACACGATGTATTCCCCTCTACAAAATAGTTTAGGCTAATATGCATATGGTTCTAAACACCTAAAACACCCCTAAAAAACTATTAGCAAATTATAAAAATAATAATCCATAATATATTCTTATTAAAAATATGAATATTTATGAAACAATTTTCAATAAAACAGGTTATATTAAATATTTTCTTAATTCTTACAAACATTTTTAATCGCTGTCATCTAAAGAGTATGTTGCTCTATAGATTTAATCAATGGAACTGCAAATTTGTAAGAGCTCCGATCACTTTCACAACGGCAGTGGCATGGGTTTAAAGAGTGTGGGGTATAGAATTTAAAATCTTATAACATGGGCTCTTTTCATATGAAGGGTACAGGAAAAGAACCGGTTAAGTCACAATTTTATAAAACCGAGAAAAACCGATTTAAAGGTTTAAAGTATAGAAACTTTTACTATAAATAGAACTGGATGTTAATATATTTTTTTTTATTATTTATTAGACATTTCTAGTACATTTTATATTGGTCGCTTATTATAATTTTGCTTTTACTTTAACCCATTAAGGACCGAATTTAATTATTTTATTTTTATTATTGTTTTTTCATATTCATTGCTTAACTGGATAGTAAAATGACCCAAAATAAGTTTTTTTTTCAAATTCAGTATACGGGTTTTAAAAAAATACGCTGATACCATATGGTATCCGTGGTCTTTAAAGGCTACTTTAATTGTTCATTTCTAAAAAAAAACTTTATATTATGAAATTAACAATAAATCATGTTATTTTGTATAATACGAAGCAAAACAACTGACGCAAAGTCCAACGTTGCATTTTTGACACATGGTCCTACCAAATGACTTACATGCTTGCCCAGCACAACGCCGCCTTTGACATGTAACAACGAATTGGTCCATTCGATCAAACCTTATATCTGGTACAATGTTTTTGGCAATTCTTATACGTCCACACATTTTTGGTTTAACTCCATACCTAGCTAAATAGACTAGTGCTGGCAAAAACCGAAAAAAATCAAAATCGGTTTCTAATAAAACCGGTTTCGGTTATAACCGGTTAACCGGTTTTGGAAACAAATCGGTTTCGGTTTCGAAAACCGAAAATCGGTTTTAAAAACCGAAAACCCATTATCGGTTTTCAAAACGAAAACCTCTTTTGTATTCAGTGTTGAGTGAGACTCAAAAACCAATTCCGATTTAGAAAATCGGTACTACCAAAAGACTTGCTGATGTGAAACGAAGCTAACTGAACTGGGAAATTAAAAACTATGCATTAATAAAATAATTATTTCTATTCAAAAATACAAAGTAAATTGTAATAAAAAACAAACTTAAAAGTAACTAGTAACAGTGAAAAAGGTACGGATCGTGCCTATTACGCAGCACTGCACACTTGCGTCAAAACTTATGCTTGTGATCGATTTCGACCAATAACAAAGTATTTCGTAAGTATTGTAGGACATGCAGTGTTGCCGATTAAAAAATTAAAGAAAATTGTTGCTAATTAGCAACAATTAATGATTATTAATCTAAAAATTTAAAATTAACATTTCCTACAGTTTGAGTCTAAGTAGTTCGCTATCGATAAACGGTTTTCGGTTTTTGATACTAAAAACCGAAAACCGTTTTCGGTTTTTGAAACCAAAAACCGATAACCGGAATTTAGTTCTTGAAACCGAATGCGGAAAACCGGTTTTGAAAACCGAAATCGGTTTTCGGTTTTAAAAATCGAAAGAAGAAAACCGATTTTAAAAACCGAAAACCGATTATAAAAACCGATTAACCGGATAATAGGTTTTCGGTTTCAGCCAAAACCGCGGTTAACCGAAAACCGGTTAACCGAAAACTGATTTTAAAAACCGATTAATCGGTTTTCGGTTTCAGTCAAAACCGCGGTTAACCGAAAACCGATTTTAAAAGCCGATTAACCGGTTAATCGGTTTTCGGTTTCAGTCAAAACCGCGGTTAACCGAAAACCGGTTAACCGAAAACCGATTTTAAAAACTGAAAACCGATTAACTGGTTAATCGGTTTTCAATTTCAGTCAAAATCGCGGTTAACCGAAAACCGATTTTAAAAACCGATTAACCGGTTAATCGGTTTTCGGTTTCAGTCAAAACCGCGGTTAACCGAAAACCGATTAACCGAAAAATCGGTTTCGGTTGCCAGCACTAAAATAGACTTGAGTTATTTCTCGTCTGAAGTCCAGATTAGATATATGATGATTTTGTTTGCATAGAAACCATGCATTTTGTACAGCAACATCAATTAGCCAGGTAAATAGTGGCCAGTACCATTTCTTTCCGCGTATTCCATTTCTATATTTCGCTACTCCTTGGTCCATAAGGTCAGTCCCTCCCATGTTGTTATTGTAAGATAAAATACAATTAGGACGAGAAACCATTATATATTTCTTTTCTCTTTGGCTGTACCTCTTTACAGATGATAATGGATGAACGCCTCCACTTGTAGACGCAATTGTGACAACTGCATTGTCCATCCACCTAACTAGTAGAATACCATCATTTTTTTCTATGAAGTATTCAACATTACCACGAGGTTCCTTTTGAAAGTGTTTTTTATTTGTTAGTGGACATGACGTCGGTATTCTATTTTCCCTTATAGTACCAACTGCACCAAAGCCCAGATTCTTTAGATAGGCAAGTAAATTTAGATCAGTGAATAAATTATCCATATGAATAATATATGGTAAATCTTACATTTTCCAAACAATTCATCGAAGTCGGCATCACCACGCGGATCTTTTCCTTGGTACAGATCAAAATTTATGAGATAACCGATATGTGTGTTTAGACTCCACATTTTGTAGCCAAAACGAATTGGCTTGCCACGGATAAACTGCTTACATCCGTGGCGGCCGTAATATTTCACCATTGACTCATCATATGACAAATTTTGGACTGGCTGAAAGTGCTTTAGGCAGTTTTCTTTTATGTTGTTCATAAGTGGTCGTAATTTCCAAGCTTTGTCAGATTCATTGATTTTAGTATTGTCTGCCATATGAATCAGTTTTTGAATTTGAATAAATCTATTTCTCCTTATGGCATTCGCTACCATATTGTTATGAACATCTTCCTTCATGTCCCAGTATAATTTTTTTTGAGGCAAATTATTATACCCACTTAAAATGAGAATAGCAACAAAACAACGTATTTCTGAATTGATGATACCTGGGTCAGCTTCATTTTTGTACTGGGAATATAGCTGGGTCTGCTCAGTTAAGTGCTGGAAGATATCGTCGTCCAAAAATAACTCAAAAAGATCAGTGGGGGACATATTTTTGTACTGTGAATAATCACCTGCTATAAAATCCCGTTTTGAAGGTTCTAAATCACCTTTTATCCAAACTGGGTTGATTTTTTTGGTTTTAAGTCCAACACGATTTTTTATCCATTCCCTGTGCCGTGAAACAGAACTGGTTACTTGTTCTGAGATTGGATCATCTGCAGTTGGATGTGGTGAAATATCTGAGGTACCTGATAATACCTACAATGCACCTACAGTTAAAAATCAGTACTACTTACATGTATTTTAAAACTTACATTAGTGTTGTCCAACACTCCAGTACTTCTGTCATTATTTGTTAGTTTAATTTAAGCTTCAGCTCGTAACTGGCGTCCTCTATAAGAAATAAACTGTTATCTAGGGTAAAATGAAATAAAATGTAATATACCCGTAAGATTGTAAATCATCCCCCCATCATCATCATCTGCAGAATCCTCATCCGAAGCGGCGTTGACTTCTGGCGGAGTTATAAAAATTTCGTCCACATGTTCTTGCATTTCATTATCATTCTCTAACATATCTAATTCTTGAGAAAGCGAAAACCCTCGCCTGAAACAAGTATTTATAGATTTACTATATTTTTATACACAAAGGACCACGAATACCATATGGTATCACTTAACTTTTGGACATTATAGTGTGGGCTATCGAAAATAAATATTCACCACATTGATATAGAAATGTGTCATGGGTCCTTACAAATCAAATAACATAACAATGGTTTACATAAGTTGCTAAGATAACAAAAATATACTTACGCCCATCGAATATCCATTATTTCGCCCGAAAGAAAATATGCAGTCAAACCAAATTTACAATGACACTAAAACAAGTATATAACCACTCCGATAGTGACTGAAAATCGAAGACTGGTGTCTTACACTTGAACTGCGAAGGTTACATGACTCTCCTACTCTTCTACTCTCCACAGAGTGGGGATCTTTCTACATATGTTTTGCGATACCGTACACGGAAAAAAAAATTGTAGAACAAATTTTTACAATTGTAGATTTTTTCTCTACAATAAATAGTACATATAGGGACAGGGACAATTTGTAGTAAAAATTTCCAAATATTTGTGGAGAATGTATTGTAGAGTTATTATCTACAATATTTAGTAAAAAGATCCAAATGCATCATAAGAATTGTTCTACAAATTGTTATAATTTTTGCTATTCATTGTATGAATTTATATTAAAAATGTATTGCGTTTTATGAAAATAAATACGAAAATTTTACACAATAAATAGTAAAAATTCATACAAATTGTAGTAATTTTTAATAAAATTTGTAGTAGTATTCCATAATTGTTATAATTATAACCTAGAAAAAAATGTTCCTTAATAAAATATTCAATTTATTGTTTTAATATAAAAGATACAAATTCTTAATTACATTATGTAATAAATAACAGTAATAATAGCGCCCTAAGTCTCAGTTGGCTTTTCTGCACCTGAAAAATATGAAATAAAAATTAATACCAATTGAATTGTTCATGCCCTTAAAACGGGGATATTTATCACCTTTACACTGATTTGGATATTAAATGACTAAGTCAGATAACTAACAAAAATGAGAAAGTAGGTATGTCACAATTAAGACAAAAAACATCATTGAACTTGGCACAAAATTCGATCGTTGGGCACAACATTCGATCGTTGGCCACAACTATTTTTTTAAAATAATCTACTAAGGTTTTTAAAATTAGTTATCTAAAGGTAAATTATTCAGAAACAATAATAAATGTACTTACCACCAATAGAATTTATTATTAAAATTTTTTCAAACGCATCGGTGCTTATAATATTATAATGTGTTATAGGTACTCGTATATGTACCATGCTTTGTTATGTGAACATGGCGAACGGCTACTGCTGTCTGGCTGTTTATGATCGACGTCAGAAAACGTTGGCCAATAGCAGAATTCTGTTTTGTTCACATGACTTAGAATTTCTACAATAAAATAGAATATTTTTGAAGAAGGGATGTAAAGTATTACTATTTTTTGTAGAGAAAATTACTATTTTTTGTAGAGATAATTATTAATATTTGTACAAATTTTTACAGAAGTTAGTAGTAGTAATTACGATAATTGTAATAAATTTCTACTTCTACAAACAATAGTAAAATATACTAAACATTGTGGACTTCTCTCCTATTGTTGTAGCATTTTATTCGACAATTCAATTGCTACAATAATTAATAGTTTTTAACTATAAATTGTAGTAAAATTTTCTACAAATTATTAAGTATTTTTCTACAAGTCTACTACTACAACATTGTAGTAAAATTTTCTAGTCACATTTTTTTCCGTGTATGGTATCCGTGGTCCCTAATGGGTTAAACAAGGTACAGTTTTCTATGCAAACAACACAATTGAAAGGTAAAAAAACAGTCAAAGGCTTAGCTGTTTCTTTTCCTGTTTCAAAGAAAGAAGAATGAAAATAATGCTTTATTATTACAAACCACAATAACACGTTACAAACAAACTAAAAATATTTAAATCAAACATTGTTCAGTATTGAGTACAGTTAAAAAAATTATTGCTTCTCATAAGGCAATGTTGAAAAAATGTTTGAGCACCACAAAATTTTTTTAATTCCTGCAGGTTTTTATATTTTGCAAGAGATATTGGAAGCAACCCTGTAAAGAATTTCCAGAATTAACATTTTAATCTAGTTTTCATGAATTTTTTAGGTTCAATTATTGAGATAAAAATATTTTAGTTACCTTTATATGATAGTGCAGGAAGACGAAATTCTTTTTCAGTTAGACCCTGACGATACTTGTATGATGGACCTCTAATTTCAGCAGTTTCCCAGGCTCCATTAAATGACGTTCGATAGGAAACAAGACGAGGGTGTTCACGACTAACTCTGTACTCTCTAATTGGTCGGGTTTGAAATAATGCCTTCTTTTTGTAGAAAGTCCCAAGATGCTCCATCCATTTTCTAAACATGCTTTGACTGCATTCCAATACACGAAAAGGTGACGGTTTTACTCGAGCCTCTTTAAACACCTCTATCAAATCAGCAGGAACCTCTGTTCTAATTTTTTGATTTACCAACCCCATGTTTTTGTCACACTCCAGATACGAGTGCCCCCGAATAGAAGAAGTTACTGTAACTGTCTGGAGCCGTTTCTCTTCATGGACCAAACTGTGTACAAATTTAAAAAACGTGAAATTTTTGTTTTGGCCGCTGCAAGAATCGCAAAATATGTTTAGCTCTTGAACGTCCGGGCTCAGGTAGTTGTATACAAAGTCATGTAACATGGAACAAACATCATCACTTCTCTTTTTAGCAATGGTTTCTGCGTATATGTAAAAAGTACTTTCAGCTGATGACAGCACATGGATATTAAAAATGTACATCGAAAGTTGCCTTTTATAGTAGACATCGTTAGTCGGTATGTTTGGAAGAGGAAGGTTCTTACCAAAATCTAGACAAATTGCTTCAATACTTTTTGATTTGCAGCTTTTCTTTTTGCTTTTCTTTTTCTTTCATAAAAATCCGCTTTTATTTTGTGTACTATATTTTCAGTTCTTAAATCTTTAATTTTCTTCTCAATTTTTATAACATCTTCGGTATTTTTCTGTTCTCGTTTCTCTGTCTCCAAGCATCTTATTTTTGCTAAAAATTCATCACATGTACTGCATGTGTCAGTACGCGGATAGCCAAATGAAATATTAAACTCTATTAAATAATGATCGGTCTCATATGATACATTTTTTGAATTTTGTAGTTGACAATACATCTTGTACATTTTTCGTATATTGAGCTCTTCGGAGAGGTAAATTTTTGATGAGTCACTTAGACTGTAATAACTTTGGCGTCCTGGAAATGATCGATAATGTTTACGAATAGAATCAAGATTAGTTTCATTAAGTTTCCAAGGTCGATTCTTATGTAAACCTCATTTGTCCTTTGCCACAGTTCCATCCTCTTTTAACTGTTGTAATAAAAATTCAATCTTACTTTTTGTTATCCCATGAGTCGAAATAAAAGCATTTCTACACACTTCAATATCTTCAACTACATTATTTTCATTAACAATACGTACTCTGTAAAGTAGCTTCACGAAACTTAGCATCTCTTTCAGACTTGCGTGGTCTTCTTCTCTGTACAGGAATAACATTAATTAATCCGGATAAGTAAGTATTTTGTTCATGATGTGATTCCATCAGATTAAATTTTCTTAAGAGTTTATGCCTATTGTCAAGCGAAACCCTTTCGAAACATTTTAAACGGCAGTTACAGTCTTTTTCCATAGTATGACTTTGTAGGTTAATTTTTTTCCTGGCTGCAGTCATTCGACCATAATCCTTACGCTTTTTAGTAGATTTCGAAGTAGTTGGAGATTCTAAGGTGCTAGAACTACTATCACTACTACACATCATATCGTATTATTTTTAAAAAACCAAAGGAAAAAAAAAGACTAATCAATTAAACATGTATACACTTGTTGATCGATATCGCAGTACTGCTGCTTTCGAAAACAATAAAGGTAAATAATGCTTAGTGAATCGAGCGGCACAGCGGACTTGACCGTTTCTTTCCTATTTGCGCGCGGACTTAGCCGTTTTTTCCCTGTACATGATTATTAAATGACTCCTAGATCGTTACACAGCCGTTTCTTTTCCTGTGTGGATATGTTAATAAAAAGTACGGTCTCCTTGCTATAACCTGGCAGAATATCTCACAATCGCCAAATTTTGGACTTAGCCGGTTCTTTTCCTGTGCCCTTCATATGTATCCGGGCTCTTGCTATGGTCTCTGTTTGGTATACTTGTGCAGGAGTCAATAAAAAGTAAGGAATTTTTAAATGTACACCAGGGGCTCGATTCTCGAGATCATTGGAAAATTTTCCCATGGGAAAATATTCCAATACTTATATTCCCATGGTAATAGGTTATGCAATTCTCGAACGTGTCGGAATAGACATTCCCATGGAAATAGTAGTTTCACGTATGTCTGATATTAAGTTCACGAATATTTCGAAACAACCAATAACATTAAAGATATTTTAAAATTTACTGTTGGCAATATTTGTATTTGTTGTGGTTTTTGGGTATCCGATTACCTGCCGAGCCTCCGCGCTGGAGCAGGTGCCGTGCCGAGCAATCGCTATCATGATCGAGGAATTAGTGAAAATTTCGATTACGTATAATAATTAAAACTTGTCGAGTTATTCTTAGTTTTTCTTTTCTCATGTTGAAAAAAGGAAAGGTAGCTTTTGTATGGAAGAGCAACGAAAGTTTTGAGAAACTAAGGACCGATTCCACCGTTGTGTTAAACGAAGTTTAAAGTGACATTTTTACATTAGCAATGTCATTTTAATCTCCGTTTAACACAACGGTGGAATCGGCCCTAAGAAATTCTTTCATTAACGAAAATAATAAAATTTTCGAAAAGGTCTTATTAAATTTACTACACTCAATTTGTGTTATTTGCCAGTCCCTTAGCAGCTCCCACAATTTCTAAATGATTTAGGAAAATCAGTTTATACAGTTTCTCAGTGAAAGAGAATTAAAAATAATATACCTACATAAATAAAATAATATCAATCTATAAATACGCCAAAAATATGTTTTAACTACAATTTCACCAAAAATCCTAGATATCCAATAATCTTTTTGGTTATGTCTTAGACTTTCGCGTGGTCTTTCGTCAAATTTTCGACTTTAATGCGCAAACTCTAGTACAATTCCCATTGTAAAACACAATTTCCAATGCTCGTAAGCAGGGGAATATTTTCCTATACTTCTCATTGGAAAATATTCCACCGATTATGTCGAGAATACGAAAACTGAATAAAATTTTCCCATGGGAATAAAAGTCGAGAATTGACCCCCAGGGGCTCGATTCTCGAGATCATTGGAAAATTTTCCCATGAGAAAATATTCCACTACTTATATTCCCATGGTAATAGGTTATGCAATTCTCGAACGTGTCGGAATAGACATTCCCATGGAAATAGTAGTTTCACGTATGTCTGATATTAAGTTCACGAATATTTCGAAACAACCAATAACATTAAAAGATATTTTAAAATTTACTATTGGCAATATTTGTATTTGTTGTGGTTTTTGGGTATCCGATTACCTGCCGAGCCTCCGCGCTGGAGCAGATGCCGTGCCGAGCAATCGCTATCATGATCGAGAATAAGTGAAAATATTCGATTACGTATAATAATTAAAACTTGTCGAGTTATTCTTAGTTTTTCTTTTCTCATGCTGAAAAAAGAAAGGGTAGCTTTTGTATGGAAGAGCAACGAAAGTTTTGAGAAACTAAGAAATTCTTTCTTAACGAAAATAATAAAATTTTCGAAAAGGTCTTATTAAATTTACTACACTCAATTTATGTTATTTGCCAGTCCCTTAGCAGCTCCCACAATTTCTAAATGATTTAGGAAAATCAGTTTATACAGTTTCTTAGTGAAAGAGAATTAAAAATAATATACCTACATAAATAAAATAATATCAATCTATAAATACGCCAAAAAAATGTTTTAACTACAATTTAACTAAAAATCCAAGATATCCAATATCCAATAATCTTTGGTTATGTCTTAGACTTTCGCGTGGTCTTTCGTCAAATTTTCGACTTTAATGCGCAAACTCTAGTACAATTCCCATTGGAAAATACAATTTCCAATGCTCGTAAGCAGGGGAATATTTTCCCATACTTCTCATTGGAAAATATTCCACCGCTTATGTCGAGAATACGAAAACTGAATTCCCATGGGAAAATTTTATTTTCCCATGGGAATAAAAGTCGAGAATTGACCCCCAGGTGGTAAAATGTCTTTTAACAGAAATCCTTTATCTGCTAATATTAAATCGCCACCATTCATTTGTTTTAAAATTTCCAAATGCTACACAATTTTTTTATCCGATGTCGATATAGGGTATAGATCACTAATAAAGGGTACAATACCATTTGGAGCAACACCTATTAAATCTTTCCATGTATTCCTGTGTTTAAATGTGCTGTATGTAGCTTTTTGAGTGACCATGGAACTTCTAGGAGTCAATGTTGCTATTTCAGTACAGTCAATAATAATTCTACAATTAATGAATGTACTAAAACTACTAGGTAAGCAAATTTGATTTTTCTTACGAGATGGTATATCCGACATAATTTGCATATAAATAATTTCATGCAAAACATAAATCCATGTGATTACAACATTTGTAACGGTTGCTTGTGAAACATTATATAAATGAGCAAGATGTTCATGTAGAAAATTCTGTCTTAACTTCATTAAGCACATCAATAATTGACCTTTTTGAAATTTTTTCTACATTCCATTTCAGGTAATAATTAATTTCTATGGGTTCTAATAAGTCATACAAACTATTAAAAATGCCTGCATTCGGTAGTCCTGTATACATTGAAATTAACTCATCAGAATGACAAATTTCTTCATAACTAAAGTCACTTTTTTTTCTGAGATTTGAGTTTTTCCCAATCTCTTTTTAGAAAATAGTTTTCAGATTTGAGTATCACATTTGAAAAGTTGCTTTTACCAGTACCTTGTCATGTGGACGGCTGCGGATTCACATAAATTCTCCTGTCTAAAAATATTTCCTCAGGTATTTCTGCCTGTATAGAATCATTTTTTTTTTATTCATTATCATCCAAACTTACTTCTGTAACTGTGGCCGTGTGATCAGTTGAAAATTTAACCTTTTTTTTATTCTTCTCTGGTGATGTAAAAGTAAAGAGCTTCTTTAAATTATGTAAAAGTAATTGTGCTCCATTTTCTCTTTTCTCTTCCGGAAAATGAACACTTTAAAGAAAAACGCCTGGACTAGATTCTTCATTATGTCTAACTGTTTCATTCTCTCCTTTCTCTTTTGGGAATTTAAAAAACCTACAAGTTTCCCTTTGATTGTAATGTATACATTCAGGAGCTCAACACATTACCATGTTTTATATCGGTACCTATAACAATATATGTATAAAATAGCAGCAAAATAAACTATTAAAATGCATTAAAAATACTTTTAAAAATGTATATTTAAGGTTAGGTTAATTTAGATTTGTTTCATAGCTATTAAAATAACATCTTACCAATTATTTATCTAATTATATAAAACAATTCAAGTTCTTGTTTCTATAAGTATTTACGGCTTAAATACGTTTAAAAGTCAATAACCAAACGGCATATCGTTACCTTATTTCTAATAGGGCCTATCCGCATTTAGCAAATTTTACAGGGCAGTTAAAAACATATTGTACCTTTGATAGATATATCAAATTTAATAATGAACATTATTTGTCATTAATTAGAACTGTTATTGTTTGTGAAACTGAATGTATCCTCATAATATTATAAACATATATAGGGTGTGGGTTACGACCTATTGTCATTGCACTTGGCCGTGGAATAAGGCCTATTACTATTATAGATATTCCACAAAAATGCAACATTCATTTGAGTTACAACAAAATAAAATATTCCAGAATGCCAATGGTTTATTTTTAAAAATAGTCTACAAAATATATTTATACATTGTATTAACATCCGCTAACTTCGTTTCTTTACTTCTGAAGTTTTAGTAGTTGTTGCTTCATCGTTACGCGTCTTAGTGTTTAACTTGTTCGTTTGTTCTTTCTTCTTCTTTTGGATTGTTGAACGTTTTTTATTATTTTTTTATCTCTTTATTCTTGGTCTTTGAGTTTAACTTATTCGTTTCTTTTTTCTTTTGATGTATTGGATGTGTTTCAATGTTCTTATTACTACTGGTAGTATTATCATTTATAAATTCGATGTTATCGTAAAAAAAGTGAGTATCTATTGGTAATACCCTTTTTAATTCTTGCAAGTGTGTTCACTTTTTTTTGTTATTTTTAGTCTTGTCTGGTACAAAGGTTTAAGCTCGTAATTATGGTTGATAGTTTGTGATCTTTGTGGAAGAGGTAAGTATGCCTCATTATAATTAAGCTTGTATAATATGTTTCCATTCGGCAGATATTTTAGACAGGATATATCTGCAACTTTGGGATCATTTACGCGATTTCCTGGTCTTATGGAGTCATATCGTAATATATTATTGTCGTCAAAATTAAAAAAATAACTGTGGTTCAAGTATTCCACCTGCAAGGGTTGTGGTTTTTGTCTCGCTGAGGTAATAACTGATATATAATCAGTGGGCAAATAGATATCTCTTGCTTTAATGTGACGTTCAATAAGACTGTGAGTAGCATCACACTCCATCTGAGTATGACCCTTCACGAGATATTTATGCTCAATCTCTACATTGTTTTTACATGCCAAAAGACATAAGGCACTTGCAAGATATTTATTTTTATTCTGGTAACCACAACTGTCAGAATATAACACAACAGATCTTACTTCACGGTCAAGGGTTGTCTGAATATGCTTAAAGATGCATGTCGCAAAAACTGATGAGCAAAGTTCACCTTCTGTTTCATTCCATAAATAGTTTTTACTATCGTGAGATTCTAAATTGTATATGGTGAAGTTATGTACTTGTAGTTTAGTTTTATAATATAAAGCACTTGCTTCAAGTTTTGGGCACAGCTTCACAGCCTGTACATCCATTGTAAAGCAGTAAATTTCTTTATTTTTACACCTTATTTTGTCTTCATCTTTTTCTTTCCTAGCTTGGTTTTTCGCTAATTTGTGCTTATTGTAGCTGTCTTCATCCAACTGCTTCATTTTATAAGCGCAACAAACGTCGTCGCACTGGTCCTTCCAAAGTTTAAAAAGAGCAAGTTTCTTTTGGTCAAATATTAACAGAAATGGATAAATAGTCAAGGGCAAAATTTCTTCATCTAAGCATATTTTTTTATACAAATTGAACACTTCGGCCTTCGTTTTAAAGTCTTGTTCTAAGTAATATTTGTTCTTTTCGTACCTTATCAGTAAATAGGTGACAATACCGGTTCGAAGCTTTTTTACAAAATTGAGAGCTGCAACTGGATCCCATTTTACGACTACCTCTTTCAATATTGTGCTTGATGGTCCCATCTTTGTTTCTTGTGTAACCTACGTATTTTTGTCCCAACATCCGTTTCTTTTTATTAATGTTCTTGTCCCATTCTTCAGGAATTGCTACTTTTTTTCTCTTTCTTTTATCAGTTTGTTTGCCGTCAGACTTTTTGTTATTATTTCCGCTACTAAGATCTTCCGTAGAACTGTCCTTATTTTCATTTTGTAACAGATTTTCTTCCATTGGTGTATAATCTGGATCATCAACATAATTTGGACTTTCTATTTCTCTATCCTCTGCTGCACTCACGTCTTGTATAATACAGTTGTTGTCCTATCCCTAATAAAAATATTTAATAAATACGCAATATAGTTAGTAATAAAATAATGTATTGGACCAAAAAACAAATAATCTAAGAAAAATGCATAATAATAAAAATAAATAATAATAAAAAAATAAATAAAAAATAATGACGGCAAATATTCATAAACGCATTCGACGTGTTGACGCTTTTAGAACTTTAAACTCGTCTATTACATTATCGTAATTTACATTGGCAGTTTTTTCCTGTTCAATAAATAAAAAGAGAAGTGAATCTAGTATCTCTTGTGACATAGTACTCCTTAATTTTGGTTAACGTCTTGATGGGCTTTATTTCGACTCCGTTGAGTTCGAGAACAAAATGATTTCTTTTTCTAGGTCCTTTTAGTAATATTGCCTCCGTTTTTTGGAGAACTATTTCTAAGTTATGTGCACTTATCCATTCGGCTAATAATTCGAGGGCATTGTTTATTTTTTCCATCAGCGTCTCGCCATTATTTCCTTCCGCGTACAGTGCCAGATCGTCAGCGTAGGCCATGGTCCAGATTCCCTCATTTTCGTTATTTACTACTTTTAAAATACCGTCGTATAAAATGTTCCACAGGGTCGGTCCTAGAACGGAGCCCTGTGGAACACCTGCTGTTATATCTTTATTGTCCACTTTAGAGTAGCTGATGCTTCTATTTTTAAAGTAACTTTCGATTGTCGAAATTAGTCTAGTCGGAATCTCTTTCTCAATCAATGCTTCTATTATTTTACCCCAGCTGGCCGAGTTAAAAGCATTTTTAATATCAATGCACACTAGTATGCACCACAGGGTTCTAGTATTTTCTATCCTTGATTTTATCCAGTCCAAGGCATGAATTGTCGACCTTCCTACTCGGAAGCCGTACTGCATCTCTGCTAGGTCCCCTTTTTATCTAACCGCATTTTCGAGTCTTATCTTAATCAGAGCTTCGTATGCTTTGCCTATGCTGTCTAATAGACAAATTGGCCTGAAAGACGATTGTTCTTCCACGGTTTTTCCCGGTTTCAGCAGTAGTACCACTTTCGTCTTTTTCCATTTATCTGGGAATGATTGGTGTCTGAGTATTCAGCATCTTTTGCGGTATTAGTCTCAGTGCTAACTTGATGGCTTCCGATGGTATTCTATCTGGTCCTGGTGCTTTATTTGATTTTATTTTTTTTGCGATTTTTTCAAATTCTTGCAGTGTGAACGGTTCTATCTCTTCTCCATCGTCTGGGGGGAGTACCCACCTATCTCTTCTTTCTGGGAAGAGGTGGTTGATGATCTTTTTTTTTCCGATCTAATGGCATTTCATAAGGTGATTTTCCAGCTTTTAAGTTTTTTACTACTATAGCGTATCCTTGTTCCCATATGTCATTTTCAAGTTGATCGCATATATCTTTCCATTTCCTCCTTTTTGAACATCTTATTAGTTTTTTAAGATCTCTATTAGCCTCTTTTAGTGCCTCCACTGCTTCTTCTGTGCGGTTTCTAGTTGTCAACCTGCGGAGACGGGTGCATTTTTTTATTAGGCTCTGCAACTATGAGAATGTCCACGTTTAGTTTGTATGAGCTTTTATATGCCAGATCGTGTGCTATATTTGCATGGCCAAGATTGGTTTGAAGAATCTTCATGTGTATATAAATAAAATATGTATAAAGATAAAAAGTTATTTACAGATAAAAGGTTGTGTAAAGATACAATATGTAGAATAAAATATTAATTTTTCGGAGTCTATGTTCTCAATGATAGATTGTCTCTCCCTGGCTCTATTATCGAACTCCATTATGTCCGAGTGAAATTCGTTCACGTAGGACTCCTTTATGTCACTTCTGTCCAGGATTTCCGTAATTTTGGCAGTATCTGTTGTTTTTTTGGGCATGGGTGTGTTTTTGGATTTTTCCTCCATTCTTGCCTTTTTTAGGGCAGCCTTAAATTCGGGGCACTTCATTGTGCCTACTTTGTGACCTTTCTCTTTACAAATAGGGCATGTTCTTCGTTCGTGCACTCTTTAGCACTGTGATCTTCTAATCCGCATTTAAAGCATTGCTTAGATCGGTCCGGTCCTTCGCACTTATCTACCTCCTGTTCGTACGACCAACATTTGGGACATCTTCTTATGTTGAGTCTCTTCTCCAACCTACATTTCCCTAGACCCACTCGTAGGAATCCTTCTCTGAGCAGCTTCTCTGCTTGTTCGGTTCTCAGTGTTAATGTCGCCGCGAGAGTGTCATTGCTCAGAGGGCGGAGCTCACTGAGCTTATTATCCTCTTCCCAAGTGCCTACTGCGTCCTTTATAGCCTCCTTTACCGTTGCATCAGCTTCCATTCCTCTGATGTGTATTGTTGAGAAATTATCCATCCCCAGTCTCCTGGTTCTTAAACCTGATGTGTTTTCCTTAAAAGCCTTTTGAAGGTTTGTTATTGCTTTGTCATCTTTATCCAAAGTCAATAAGAGTTTACCGTCTTTGGTACTTTTAACGCTTCTAATCGCAGCTGCTGACGAGTTTTTTTTAACCACGTCTTTAACCTTCATCAGCACTTCCCTATATGATTTTCCACCCTCGCTAACAATCATTCCATACGTCGTACGGACTTTTTCGTCTTCCTTTTTCCTGGCTGTGGTGTAGATTTCCACTTTAGTGTTGCTATTGTGGAACACAGTTTCCGCCATTTTTCGGAGATTTGTTGTTGTAATATTCGTTAGGTGGTGAATCGCTACCTTACCATCCTCAGAGGTTTCCTCTCTTATTTCCTTCAATTTCCTCCAAACGCTTTTTGTTGTACCATCGTGGGTAGCCCTTATTATTTTACGCTGGCTTAGTTCATTTTTTGATTTTGTCTTTGTGATTTGCTCGATTACTTCGAACTCCCCACTTAGGCTTAATAATGCCAGATACTTTTCACTGTACAATTTTTGTATACCATTAGACATAGTAGGGTCATTTGGTTCTCCAAATACTACTTTCGTAGTTTTGTCTTCAGTCATAATCGGGTTTCCTACTACTACCTCGGTGTTTTTGTATAGTGTTTGGTCCCATTCCATCGTTTCTATTTCCTCATATTCCTCAAATTTCTCTATTCCATCAAGATATTTTAGCGTAACTTTCGTTGCCTGCCCGTGCCACGGCTCTGTTTGGGTGGCGATTTCGCATGTTTTTTTGGGTGTTTCAATCGTTTGGAAGTCCACGTCATACATAATTTTCTCAATAGGTTCAAACCTTTTTTTATTCAGCCATTTTTTAAAGCTGTCTCTTTGGAACTCATTTGCGTTCCTTATCTTCACCACCTCTTTGATCTTTTTATGAGTGTTTGGCGCATCCTCTATTAGTCCCTTGATTATCTTTACGAGTTTTATATTCTTATCTATTGCCTCGTTAAGTGTGAAAGCTTCTGGACTTTCTTTCTGTTTGTAATGGTCGGTCCCTGATGTGTCTAAGGTCATGTCTAAAATTTTCTTTTTTTGTGTATCCGGGAAGGACACGGAATTACATCTTCTTCCTTGTTCTATGAAATTTAGTCTACTATGTTTAGCTGCTGCTGCTGCTATCTTAGCTGTGTCTGATCTTCCAGAGTCTGCGGCCTGGTCGCCCCCGCATAAATCAATTGATTCGAGTGAATTCATATTACATCCCACGCGTTAGGTCGAAATATAAGTCCGGCATGGCAGTGCTCCCATACCCCGCTAAGGCTTGTTACTTCGGGGTTTCGCCAGGTGCCCCGGAGGCATCGTTCATGACCACGTCCGTGCGGCCATGCATCCCTCGGCACGATAGCTTCCACCTTGGATTACGGTTTTTTCTGGCTGGTTGGCTCTATCCTGGTTTTCTGTCGGGGTTTTCCTTCCCTTAGCCGATGGGTCCCCGTTTTATGGCGCCGGGAACTCGCCATTCGCCCTTCCTATCTGGGTCGGACTTGGCGGTTTGCTTTTGTTAGCTGGGCGTAGTAACCCCACCTCGGCACCATCAACGCCCCGGAATCGTCGGTTAGACATTCGTTCGGTGCATCGGTTGCTTTTGTCATTTTTTTTTCTTGCTCTTCCTATCTCTCTTCTTTTATCCTCCTTTTTGCCATCCCTCTCTTGTTCCGAGCATTATGCCTATAATATTGGCCGCTGTCGGGTTCCTTCCAACTGTCAATGCCAGCTCCGTCCTTTCTCTTGCCCATCTTATACAATTAAAAAGGGTGTGTTCAGGCGTGTCCGTGTCGTCACAATACATTCACTTGTCGTCATTCGTCTTTCGAATTTTTTTGGTAAAGGTTTTACATGACCCATGTCCTGTCAAGGCTTGCGTTGTGTGGTAGTCGAGGACCCTATGTGTATATTTGTACCATGTCACGACGTCCGGTATCAGTGTCTTCGTCCATTGTGCCGTCCTGTAATAATATAAGTACTTATATATATTATCATACTGTATATAATTTTTGTAGTTGTTATAGTTCTTTGAACTTGGATATAATTAGGTTAAGGAATGTATTTTATTATTTAATATTATATTTTGTAATGTGTTGATTCGACACTTATTTCGACGACGTAACAATTGTGTAGGTTCGTTGAAATAAGTAATCGAAGAATAAAGGATTTAATAAATAACTTTCGTATAATCTAGTTGATTTTTATTTGCTATTAATAATACATGGTGACGTAAAATATCCAGAGGACTAGTACCATCACAGTCCTGTTATGCTCTGTCCACTCATTTTGCCATCTAGTAAGGACCCTGTTCCTCTCTTCTTGTCTTTCTCTTTCTCTCTGTCCCTTTGGTACATTTTTGAGGTTTTTCCGTTCTGTTACCATTACGTGTATCGGGACAGTTCCGGTAATGACTTGGATTGCCTCCAGCGAGACTGTACGGTAGGCCGAGGCCACTCTCAATGCCGCCTTTCTCTGGGTGGTTTCCAGTACTTTCCTGTACGATCTTACATTGATTGCTCCGTACCACACTGGTGCCTCATACAGCAGTATGGAATGCATTATGCCTAGGAGTAATTCTCGCTTCTTGCTCTGTTGGCCACCGATGTTTGGCATAATTCTCGCTAGTTTGCTTTTCTTGCTGCCTCTTTAATGTGTGCTCCGAAGCTTCCGATGTCGTCTATAATTACTCCTAGGTATTTTACATGCCTTTTTGGGGTCACTACCGTTTCGAGTAATCTTATCCGTACTTCCTCCCTTTTTCGTTTCCACCAATGGCTTCTGAGGACTACCATTTCTGTTTTTTAGCAGACATCCTGCCACTTTTGTTTCTTGGATGCGTTGATCAGTTCCCGAGGGATTTCTTTAGTTTACCTAACCTAACCATTTTAGAAAACGAGCGTTAGCAAGACCAACTAGTGACTGGTATAGTAGTAAACATTTTTAAAATTGCGATAAAACTAGGATATATTTTGTATATATCTAAGGAAAGAATCCAATTCATCCATTCTGTAAAATTAACCCCTTTGGGGATAGAGTTATCAAATTTAATTATACTCAGTTCCGCGACTAATTGTTCTTTTTTTATTTTAAATTTATTTTCGTTTAAAGTAAAATCGCCTTCACTATTTAAAGTTAGTATTTCATTTATATTTCTAATTATATCTGTGGTTTCTTTATTAAAACGTTAATTTATTCCGGAAATAAGTGAATCCAAAAAAGGATAGAACGTGTTTATCCTAATGAAATCTTTGATATTTTCAAATTCGTGTTGATTATCACACATTTAGTCAATTTTGCGAGGAACTTTTCTTTTTCTTGTTTCCGGAATTGTACCATGTTTGTTAAATGTTTCGGAATCAACCCTTAATTAAACGATCATATTGAGAAAAAAGGTTAATTAATTCTAAGAAAAGTCCACACTCAGAACTGCTTTTTGTTTCATCATGGCCATGAAATGATCTTCTTTTCATTACGTCACGGTTTCGCAGACGTTCTTCATCTTGTTTTTTTAATAACGTTACTCTTTAATCATCAAGCAAGGTATCGATACTTCTTATTTTAGAGTAATTTTTCCATATATTAAAACTATGTACGTGACATTGTGATAGTTGGTGGCATTTATATTTTTACCTAAATGATATATTTTTGGGGATTACGAAGGTACTTTTTTTTTGTTTCGTCATAGATATTTTAAGGATTAGGGTGGGCCATGGCTCAGTAAATAAAAATAAAAACAAAATACATATTTCACAAAATATTGCAGGTAACAAAAATAAATATATAAGTAAATCGAAACTTTATCCAGTAAAAAGGTACTTCAGCATGATCATATTATATTTTAGCTTCATAATTTTTTACCAAATTTTTTTTCTAATCGAATTTTGTTTTTTATTTATTTTTTCTTCATGGCGCTATATTGACTGATATTTCACTACTTTTTGATCTCTTAATTAAATAAGTGCTACTTACTGAAGCTACTGGTTCAAAATAAGGATCATGAAAAAGATGTCCTGAAAATCTTCAAAATAACTCATATGTTGTCTTAAGTTTCCTCCATTTTTCGTCACATTTCTGAGTTCTTATATTACTTTTTTTCTCAAGGTAATTTTATTTATATATGATGTACTTTCGAATTTTTGTTTCTACTCCGTGAAGCTAAATATTAATAATTTTATCTCTTCATGTGTTGGTATATTTTGTTTCACCCTCCATTGTAATAACCGGGTGGTTTTCCTTAGAAGTATATACACCATCATGTATACTTGATGCACAGGTGTTCCTAGTTGGCTTTGGAGAAGAACAGATCCATACATTTTTTTGGTCTCAAAATCCATCTCAACGTTTAAACAATTTATGAAACACAGATGCTTGGAAGTGAGACCTTCCTCTATAATTGCCTTCATCCCTCCTACATCAGCATTACAATGGTCGCATATGAATAAGCAGTCATAAATAATTAAACGGGTTAGAAGCAAAAGGGTTCAAGTGACATTTTTTTTAAGTTAACTAAAACCGTCTTACCTAGAACAAACTACACGTTTTCAATAACATACTTTTTCTACCAGTTGATAGATGTCGTTAAGACATCAAAAAATCACTTGTATCGTTTTTCTACCAACAAAATAATTGTTTTAAATAACGAAATATGCACTTAACTCATTTAAAAAAATTCACTTGAACACTTTTGCTTCTAACCTCTTCAATTGTTTTATCTATTTTAGTAAATAAAAATTAATCCAAGTTATGTGTTGCTAAAATAGTTATATAGACAATAAACGACTTCCTGTAAATAACTTTATCTTATCATACTTTTATAAATTTTCCTATAGATAAACAATAGGTGTGGATTAAATGTAAGATATAATTATTCTTTAGTTTGACTTTGTTCAATAAAGTACATCTTAATTTTTTTAAAAATAATGTTCCATAAAGAAAATTAAAACTACGAAGTGTTTTTTGATCGCAAAATCCGTTACAGTCCACAAAAACCTTTTCATTCCCTAGGTTGTTTATTCTTGAGAACATCTACCATATTTTTTTCTTCTCGGTTTCCGTATTTACTGAATCGCCATTTATCGTATAAATACTTTATTTGTCTCTCAGTGGGGTTTTCTTTAAAATTGGCAAATTAATCCAATTAATCCTGTAAAGGTTAGAACAAATATTTATTGCTGGCCCATTGTATTTAAATTTTCTTGCGAAGTGGTAGTCGAGGTTACATTGGTCGTAAACGTTTCCGTTATTACTTGATTACGTGGTACTGCAGTTCCATCTTCAAATAAATCTGTTGGGATATAAATAGAGTAAAACCTAGTAAGAACATTTTCATATTCGATCACTATATTTGAATTCGATTCATCTGGGTACGCAAGCGAAATGGTTGAATGATCGGCTGTCTAATATAGTTGCTGCTGTAGTTCATTTAATTCCACTAAAGATTAAACAGAAACAGGCCTATTTGCTGAAACAGTAGTGTGTGTAATGTTTATCTGTGTTTCTTCTGATTCCGTTAGACATGTTCCGGTATACGTTTGTACTTTTCTCTCTTATTGCTAAATATACCTTTACTTTTAAATTCGAAAATTTGGCTTTTTTAAACATATTTTTGACAGTTATAATGTAACATTCGTTGTTTAATCAAACATTTAAATCGATGTTTTAAAACACTATTACATCTTTCTGGTACTTTTTAATTTATTATTAAAGTGTTCAGCAGGAATTACAGGTTGTGGAATATCTTCCAGTGGTTTTAATAACCATGGTCTTAATGGGTGGCCTGAAATATATTGTGACGGGGTTACTTACTTGCATAAACAGCGACTCCGTATATATAATATAAATTTTTTAATATTTTATTCAACTTTGTCACATAAATGCAATTTAATTAAAACTGTGTTCTATATTTTTAATAAATTTTAGTTATTAGTAATGAGACTCTTATTTAAATTTTGTAACTATTTTTCTAATTTAGTTAATCTCAGGGAATGTTTTAGTTCATTACTTTTTCAGTGACCCTCGTATTATAAATTTGAAAAAATTAAATATATTTATCATATGGGATTTCAGGTTAGGCAACCAGTCAACAGAAAATATACCAACTAAGAATTAATTGGAATTCAAAAAATAACATTTATTTCTGGACTCTATACAACAAAATCTTAAAATTCTATAATATTCTTCACGCACACTTTATGGACAGTGGTAATGACTTAAATAACCCACCTTCTTTGACTAAATTTTTTATTATACGTTGGCAATGCCGTTGCTGCTATAACGTGTTGAATATGCTTTGAATTTAATAAAGTGATTTATAGGTTATGTGTTTATTATGGACGAGAAGATGTGCCTTTTTAAATCATTAAATGGAATCAGAATAGTAAAAACAAAAGTTATAGTTCATATAAAAAATTTTGTACCTTCATAACTACATCAGGGTTCATAAATTGTGTTTTACTTGCTTCGTTTTTTTTTTCACAGGGAAAGTGCCAATCAAGGAGATTAAAAATCCAGATGAATCTTAGAAAACCACGTTGTATCCATCCATAACTTGTGAAATCCAGGACAAAAGGCAGAAGCCTTTTATAGTACTTTCACATCTAAAATGTATGATCACTTTTCACTATTATAATTAATATATGGGTAGAAACTTATTGTACCAATTATACCAGTAAATACTTATTACTAATTTTACAACAAATTATAGTTACTAGGTTTGGTATACTTTCTTATTATTTTAATTTTTTAGGATGACAGAGAGAAACTACATCTCTGCCATTTTAAAATTCTACCCAGACTGCCGATTTTCATTTGTTAAATCAACAACTTTTTACATTTTTAATCCCATCTAGAAAGTTCAAAGAAACTGGATTTAGTTACTTTTAAAAATAAGTTATTTCTATAAATTAAAGGTGAGTTTATTAAAACTAATTATAACGTAATTTTAAACTAATTTTATGTTAAAATTCTATTACTGTTCGAACAAAATCCTGGTTGTCAAATTTAATCAAATTGCATTTTTGTTATCTGTTAAAATGAAGTTGGTATTCTGTTTCTTACTAAATTTGTTACGTTGTTACTGTTTCTATATTTGTCCCAGTGTTTCATGTACTGGTTGATATTATTAATATGTCCATAAGTAAATAATTTTTTAATGTACAATAATTTTAAAAGTTTTTTTTTTGTTTGATCTTTAAAATACTATCTTAATATATGTATATATTTAAAAAAACTATTTTAACATTGTGAAATTCTTTAAACAAAGCACCTGAATACCCTATTAAATAAAATAATTGCTTTTCATTCGTCTGAATGTGTTCCATAGTTTGATATATATTTGATTGCTGCCGAATAAAGACATCATGACAACTTACAGGGTATCTTGCAATTACAATCAATAATAAAAAATGAGTGAGGTAATGTACCTTTTATTACTTCCCAAAGTTGAAGTGCGGCGTTAGGAAAATCATTGGTTCAGATAGAATTACGGGAAATCCATTCTTTTCTTTCAAAATGTTGTTTATTTTTTAATACAAAATATCATGTAGATATTAGAACCACATTTTCTGTATCGTATCTTGATCCAAACTTTAAATCTCTATACAATCTTAATTATTGGAACAAGATTTTTTAAATTGTCCCTAAAATTATGTCTAATACAATGTATATTACATTATTTAGACAATCATAGACACGCCACTTATCAGTCCAAATTTCTGTTCCAGGTAGCACATGTTCTATATTTTTTTCTAAAATCGATTTTCTGGACCGACCTTTTAAATAAATCACAACACCTCATTTTGTTGTAGTATCTACCATTCCCAACACCAAAACTTGCGGTACAATCCTACCTACGTTATATTTTCTTCTGGTAATTACACTTTCATCAATTTGAAAAATATGATCAATACCACCTAGTAGAAGTAGTTGTGGTACATTCAAAAGTTTCTAAGACGCAACATCTCGAATAAATCGGTACACACTGTTGTAAGTCTTCTATTTAATAATAGAAATGCTACTCTTGGTGGTACGAGACATGCCTAGAAATATATCAATACCATAGTGTCCCTTATTGGTACGTGCATATTTTTAAAAAAAGATCCTTTTAAAGAACTATATTACGACAAATTCGACAATAAAAAGTATGACTCAAACTTTCATCATTTCTTTTAATTAACTTACAAAAGCGTCTACAAGATCGAGTACAACACCGTAGGCTCTCACGTATCAGGTTTTTGTAAGACACTCAAATCACTTCGATGTCGTCCAAAATCATTTAAAATATCTTCGATATTCATCTTTACAACTTTTTTTAAATTCAAAATCTTGATAGCCACACATAAAGAGCAACTATGAATCGAAATTGCTACACTTCTGTCAAAATAAGTACTTTTCAACATCCGCAATAAAAAATAGTTCCAACTTGGAAAGTCCATATTTTTGAATTCGCAATTTTTTTTATTTAATAAGTACTGTTTCGCTGGTTTTTGGTATCACAAATTAAATATAAATTTTAATGGCAATAATACATTGTGTTAACTCATTTTCTTCGCTGATTAACATTAATGTTATTAATTCTACTTCACAACACAATTTTTAAACGAATAACGAATTAAAATAGATTGTTTATTTTTCAAATGCTATCATGGGTTCGAACCTTACGATTTTTAACGTTCTGTTTGATGACGTCAATTTAAATTAATTAGGTTTAAACTAACGGTTCGAAAATATTTCACACTAAAAAACGGCTTAAATTAAAGAAAAATTTGACTCACTTGTAAAAGTGCTCGATGACATTCCCTTTTAAATTTAGTAATTGGGCGATAGTGGCTACGCGTTTGCCTAAGTGGCAAATCGTTAGAGTTGCCGCTCATTAAATACTTATTAACATAAGTATTTAATATAGTATTTATAAGTATTTAATATAGTATTTATAAGTATTTAATATAGTTTGCCCTCTATCCATTTTGTGGCATCAGGAAAAATATATTTTTTTTTTTTTGGGAAACCATTCTAAATTTTCAGCTCTTTTTTTTTTAATTAAATCATAATATTTTATGTGGTCTTTAGGTATCAAAACGGCAACGGTTCTACTACCTTTACCAAACGAATTCATTTTCACATATTCAGTAAAATCTCTTCTGTTTCAGTTAAACTTTCTATATATTCAGTGACTTTGGTTTGTTGAAACGAATTAGTTCTTTGGCCGATGTAATTTTGTAGTTCGAGGAACTGAATGTCGGCGACTTGTTTTCTGTTATGTATGATACACGAAATTAAGGTGGTTTCAGCCAATTTTGAGTACTCAAATTTGAAACGTTTACAAATGAGCGCCTGATAGGAATTCTCTCATATTTCATTTACCTACTTTTTTCAGGTCTTTTTTAGTAAGACTGGCAACTTTTGTTGTCAAATTGTCTTTAACCATTCCTCTGAACGTTTTTAAATCAGCCAAGGACTGTTCTGGAGTTTCTGTGAGGTGAAAAGTGAAAACGTTTGCACAGAATTATATTTCTCGTCAAACTTGTCATTTTTTTTAGATAGGCTCCAAACTCTAAACCAGTGGAAAATATTTTATACACACGGTGTTCTCGATTTCTCGATCAAAGCCGCTTATGATTTTAAATAAAACATTTCAGTATACTCTGCACTTGTTTTTCGCTTTTACAAAACAAAGTTAACGCATCCACGCATCTTGTGTGACAAAGCTATTTGTTTCGATTTTGGGGTATTTTTTAAAAGTCATCGTCCCAGCTTAAAAATAAAATGTTATCGGAAGGTCGCACTTGATCCACCCGCAATCCGTCACCCCTAGGTAGGAGAGAAAGTAGAACCTTGTTGAATTTACTTTTCAGAAATATATTTAACCCTCAACTGGTATGGTGATTTTGTTAACCTCTTAAGGTATGTTGGGTCAATAATGACCCGTGAGTAAAAAGTCTGTAAGATTTAATAAATTAACAAAACATGTTTCTTCTATTAGTTTACTCTATTACTTAGATCTTTATTACAACATATAAAATAAGAAAAATCACTAAAAAAATATTATCCTATTATTAAGGTGTAAAAGCAAACATCGTGTGTTTTTTTAAGGTTTTTGTAAGAATTAAGAAAATAATGATAAAAATTAAAAAAAACTCCGTTCAAACTGGTTGATCTTAATTTAAACTCATTGTTCTACATCTAATAAGAAAAAAAATAAAAAAAAAAAAAAGAATTTTAGTAAAAAAGTCTGGGGTATTTGTATGTTCAAATTATTTAATTGCTTAATATCTCGCACACTGCAAACATTTCACGACATCAATGCTATGGGCCTTACAAATGCCCTTGAAACACATTGAACATTTTTTTGGATGTTTGTTGTCGTTAGAACACATGTAACATCGCCGTCTTTTGTTGTCATGGGGATTATCTGGTCTGGGTTCTTCTGGGGGTGATCCAATAAAACGCCTTATCATACCTCGAAGTTCAATTGGAATATTTCTTATTTCAGCTCTCATTTGGAGATGATCCTTGATAAGCTCTCTTCCAACAGAAATAATATATTGTCGTCTGTCCATTACCTTATTAGTATCTACAGTACTGTTATATATAATGTGAGAATTGACGCCCATAATATTTACCATTGCATAAAATATTGTCAATGGCCAACGTCTACTTCGACGACTTACATTGTAACAGGCGCACTTTTGGTCTAAGCTGTCAACCCCTCCCTTATTTGAGTTTTTTTTTCATTATCTTCTATTGTCGCTGTAGGGTGTAGTGAAGAGAGCATTATGACAGCTTTCCGCTTTTTCGGCACATATGATAGGAGTGTTAGAACCCTTGTAAATCCAAAAATTGTTGACAAAGCAGGGCGGTCTTTATTGGGCAAAAATTCATGGGGAAACTCTTTTTTATTTTTTCGCAAAGTTCCTGTATATGTTAGACCACATTTTTTTAATTCATTCGTCAGTTCAATTGATGAAAACCAATTGTCAGCAGTGATGTTTCGATTGCTCTTTACAATAGACTGAACAAGTTGTAAAACGTTGAGTGTGGGAACTGATAGTTTTCTCGGATTAGGGGATTCATCTTTACCAGCATTTATAATAAATAATAATAAATTGTTTATTACAAAATAAAGTTATAAAATTACAAAGAGAAAAAATAGATTAAATTTATGAACTCAAGTAATAAACAAGATAATCCATTTAGGCCCATCAGGCCTGTCTATGGTATAGCCGTTTATTAAAATAATTTTTATAATTTAATCTAAGCAATATTTCTTAACACATGTAAAAAATGTAAACAAAAAGAGTACTGTTAAAAAACATATTAAAAAGTAAGTACATTTATAGCTTAAAAACTAATCTAATATAGTAAAAAGTAAGAAACGTAAGAAAAGTAAGAAAGTAAAAAAAAGACAAATAGATAAACATTTGTTGAGAGAGAGAGAGAGAGAGAGAGAGAGAGAGAGAGAGAGAGTTGATTCTATATTTTTTAATAAATAAATTTTTCTTTTTTTTTTTATTCTATTATATCATCAAAATTTTCATGAAGGATCCATTGTTTTAACTTGTGTTTTACTCTTCTAAAGTCTTTAATCTGTCTCAGCTCTTGCGGTAGCTTATTATATAATCTTGGTATAACATAAGTGTGACATCTTTGACCTAAGACTTTATTCACTCTAGGTAAGTAAACATTATTTGCTAGATTTGATCTTGTCAAATAATTGTGATCAATTATTGTGGATGTAACAATATTATGTTTTATTGCAAAAGTCAGAGATGTTTTGACAAATAATCTTCTTATATCTAAGATTTGCATATCGTGAAATAATTGGTTAGAACTAAACCGTTGTGGTTTAAAAGACATTATTTTTAAATTTTTTTTTTGAACTCTATAGGTTTCATAAATTTTTTTCTTAAACCACCTCAACCAATTATTCCATATAAACGCATTCAATAAATAATGTGTCTTAGCATCACACAAACACATTATTTTTATACCATATTTGTTAGGCTTATTAGGCATATACATTTTATATCGAAATCTTCCCCTAAAGCCTACCAGCATTTCATCAATTGACCACAAGCGTAATTTGATTGAGAGTTGACAATCATAAGGTTAAATATTTCGGAAATGGCGGCAAGTTTATCTCCATTCTGAATTCGTTCGTTTCTTGTGGCACTATTATCAAAGCGCAATGCAGCGCATAAGAAACAAAAACGTTTCAGTGTCATAGTGGCGCGAAAAATGTCACGACCCGTTAGATCTGTAGCCCATAATGAATTGACATCTTCATTATTTGATTTGAAAGCACCAGACAGCAAAAGCAAACCAATAAATGCTTTCATTTCAGGTTTTTCTACGTGTTTTGTGAATTGACAGTCTAAAGCTCTATCATCATAAGAAACTGTCAAATCAGTAATTCTTTCATTTGTATGTTCTATAATAATATCTAACATATTATCGTCAAAAATCAAATTCCATGATTCTACTGGTTTCGTTGGCTTATTCCTGTATGCATCACCTATGACAGCAGGTATGCGTGTTCTGATTGTATTTTCTGCTCGAGTTTTACTTGCTGCTGGAGGTGTTTTTGACCACTTGTATTTATTCTTTTTAAAAAAATACTGTTTTCTTTCTGCCTGTAATTCTTCATTTCCACCACTTTCATTCAGAATCTGGTTCTTGCACATTTTCATTATCATCTCGCTCATGTTCTGATTCCTCTAATTCTGACTCGCTATCATGTTCGCTAAACTCACTCTCTCTAGATGCATAGTCACTAATATATGCGTTTAAAGTCTTTTGTTCAAGTTCAAACTGCGTAAGGGTTCTATTACGGTTCATTTTCTAACTCAAAAATAGTATCACCAAAGGTATGCTGGGTCAGATTTGACCCGGTTGCTTGATTTACTGCCAAAAGACCACCTGCACTCACAAAGGTCAGATGCCAACTGATAGTACGCCACAAACTAGGAGAATTCGTAGCGGGCCAGTGCCGTCCGCCAATTGTAACATTTCTTAAATTATCACACAAAATTTCGTTGGGTCAAAATTGACCCACCATACCAGTTGAGGGTTAACTGCCATTTACAACTTTGTCAGATTTAAAGAAAGTATAATCAACCATGCTATTTGTAATGTGTACCGTATACAATACTCAATGAAACAACACCTTCTTGTAACCTTTTATTCTCGAAGTAAAATAGTAACTAATTAACACAAGTTAATTGTTATAAGACAAGATTTTCATAATAAACAACGAACTGATTTTGAGAGACGCTACGCATCTAACTTTTCTTTAGTACTCGTGGCGATATCTACGTATGATTCTACGGGGTCACAGACTACAGATGACCGTGACAGGAAAAACCCTTATATGAAGATGAAACAGATGGCGTTACGGGTACTAACATTACCATTTATGAATGGGTATACACAAAAAGCACGCATTTTCTAGAGACCCCACGCAAATGGTTGTGTTCACCAGATGCAAACATAGGCATTCCGCTTGCGCTTTTCCCTGCTGAACTAGACGCTTACGTCAAACTTGTTTGCAAGGAAGGCGTGTAGACAGCACTCCGTGCCGAGGTATTGCCAAGTGTGCTTTTGATTTTAAAGCGCTGTTGGCGGGAAATTAAAATATTTCCTGTCCATTATTTTTATAGGATGTGAGTTTTATTCTTGAAAAAATAATTAATGTAATAGCCAATTATGATAGTGTTAAATTTTCAAGACAGGCATGTGAAAGTTTGTAGAATGAGCGCTCTGAGACGAAACGTCGGATTTGAAATTTGATGGTGTCTCTTATAGAGGAAAAAAATGGCAATGTTGAAGTGCCATATTTGCTTAAAAAATCTCTTCAGATAGGTCCAGAAAATATGAAAACGCTTTAGTGAAATTTCGGTTTTTTTTCCGAATATCTCCAAAAGTGTTCGGAATTCATCAAATTGCAAAACGGCGTTCCATTGAGCATCAAATTACGAACTTTTTCATAATTTAACAAACCTCGTATCACCGTTTCCGAGATCCCAATGACGTTGACCTCGAAAAACGGACACCCTGTATATTATAATACTAATTAAGTAATTTTCAGAAATAATCATGATCATGTTCCATATCAGTTGAAGTAGAGAGTGACTTTGATAAAATTCCTTTTATTATTTTATTCTCCATTTGGTCAGGTTTTTTAATGAAGTTACTATTTTGCTCTTTTTTTTTGTGGAAAACAGTGATTGCTTTTCTATCTTTTTATTCGGAGGAGACTTTGATTGAATCGTGCTTTGAGAATCAAATATTCCAGTCCTAAGGGAGGTTGTGTTATTGTTATCTGGTATTGTATCTGGCTCTATTGCCAATAAAACTTTCAAATTTTTTAAAATAAAATGTTGCTGTTTATAAGAAAAATTATATTCTTTAGTATTCCTGACAATTTGTAGGGCAGCTGATTTAATTGCCTTAGAGTGGACTGAGTGGAAAAT